AGGCTGTGAAGGTGAAGCCTGGATTGCCTTGGAGACCCCGAGATGTTAGAGACGCCAGAGCGGTGGGACGTCTCCTGAGGAAAGCTGCTAACAGGGAATGGAACAAGCCCAAGAGCACGAAGTGTGTTGCAGTCAACAAAAAAAATGAAAGGAGTTGTAGCTCTACAGAGCATTTTGACGTCACACATGGAGGATTCAGAGTTTGGAGTTCGCCCAGCTGGTTTTTATTTTTATTTATTTTTTTGTTTTGTTTTGTTTTTCGAGACAGGGTTTCTCTGCGTAACCCTGGCTGTTCTGGAACTCACTCTGTAGACCAGGCTGGCCTCGAACTCAGAAATCCGCCTGCCTGCCTCTGCCTCCCAAGTGCTGGGATTAAAGGCCTCTGCCACCACCACTGCCCGGCAGCCAGCTGATCTTTGATCTTCCTTCGGTCCAGTATTTCCTCACTGTGTTCCCTGCCCTGTGTTTTGAAAATGTATGCATCCTTATGTTGTTGAAAATATGTGATTTGCTTCCTGATTTTTGATTTTATAGGGGATTACAGTTACGAGACTGCATAAATCTCAGCAGAGACTTTGAACTTTGGACTTTTACACATTGCCGAGACTGTGATAGACTGTGGGGATTTTTGAAGTTGGATTAAATGTATTTTGTATTATATCATGGCTACGAGCCTACGGAAACCAGGGAGTGGAATGTGATTTGAATAGGGATGGCCCCCATAGACTCACGTGTTTGAGTGCTTGGCCCTTAGGAAGTGGCACTATTAGAAGGCGTGGCCCAGTTGGAGTCGGTATGGCATTGTTGGAGGAGGTGTGGCCCTGTTGGAGAAGGTGTGGCCTTGCCTGAGGAGGTGTGGCCTTGCCCGAGGAGGTGTGGCCCTGTTGGAGAAGGTGTGGCCTTGCCTGAGGAGGTGTGGCCTTGCCCGAGGAGGTGTGGCTCTGTTGGAGAAGGTGTGCCCTTGCCTGAGGAGGTGTGGCTTTGCCCGAGGAGGTGTGGCCTTGTTGGAGGAGGTGTGTCACTGTGGGGGTGGGGCTTTGAGGTCTTCTATGCTTAAACTCCATCCAGTATGGAACAGTTTCCTCCTGATGCCTGCAGATCAAGATAACTCTCAGCTCCTTCTCCAGCACAATGCCTGCCTGCATGCTGCCGTGCTTCCTGCCATGATGATAATGGATGAAATCTCTGACCCTGTAAGCCAGCCCCAATGAAATGTTTTCCTTTATAAGAGTTGCCCTGGTCATGATGTCTCTTCACAGCAATGGAAATTCTAACTAAGACACCACCCAGCCTGTACCAAATAAGGAGAGAAAACTGTTGAAGAGGCTTCATTGAATCCACAGTCGAAGACACCTTTCTTTGATCCTTTCTCATTCCCCCTGGGTATGCAAGTCATGGTTTATTTACAGTTTAATAAGTTTATGCTTACTCCTTTCTACGGTCCTGTTAGTTCTTATCTGGCAGGGTCTCTGAGCTGGACAAGACCAGCTATTAACATAAATGGCTGCCCACTCCATGAATGTAGCAACAAATGCAGGACTGGGGCTTGCTTTACAAATTAGGATTAAGAGACTGTCCACAGCAAGACTTAGAGATGAGTCCTGACTCCACTGTACAACTGCTGGACTTTGAACAGCTCACTGGACCGCTCTGAGCCTCCACTGACTCCACCCGTACGGACGGGACCGAACGCCCATGCTTGCTATGAGGATTACATGAAATGAAGCAGCACAGATCACAGCTTATAGAACACGCTCGGTGGCTGTCAGCGACTGTAATACAGCAAAGTGATTTTGGCCTCTCTGGGCCTCCTTAGGCTAAACTCCTTATATTTTCGGCACAAAAATTGTGTATTTTACACAAAAAACGTATCCCATATCTAAGAGCCTGCCTTCTACAAATATGTTTCCAATGTAGAGGTCTCAAGAATGCAAGTGTTCTTTTGTAAATGCTTGCTAACCAAGCGCATGACCTTCTGCTTTTACAAAGCAGAGGTCACACACATATACACAGACACATACATACATACATACATACACACATACATATACATGTATATACACACACTCATACGCAGAAACATAAACACACACAAATGCATCCATGCACATAAACACACACACACACACACCCCTCAGGATCTAAGTGACTGCAGGCAAAAGTGACTTCAGGCAAAAAGCTTTAAGTCTGACAAATTAGGCAAGGAAGAGGGAAAACCAAGGATGTACCACAGATCCTTGTCTGCAAGCTGTCCTCCCCACTATGCTCAACGACCTTGTTTTTCAGCCTCAGATTCAGGCAAAAAACAAAACAAAAAAGAAATGTTGGGTGAGTGGAATTTGTCTTATTATTGGAATCAAGAGAAGGCATCAAACCAGGGATTTAGGAGTGTGAGGTCTGGGTTAACTCTGTTATACTCTGGGAGACACGGAACATGTAACCATGTTCAGCAGGACAGAACACAGAGATGTATTTGTCAATGAGGGTTTTTTTTCCTAGTTTATTTGTTTTCCAGTTCCAATGTCAAATAAGGAGTCAATGCCCGCGGAAACTGGGGCACCTAGATTCTGGGGCTATCTTTTAATTAGCTCTCTGACCCAAGGATTGTCCTCAGATTCGTCAGAGGAAGGTGCTTGGTCCTCACGTGCCAGTGCGACCTCACAGGAAGCTAGGGTAATTTTTTCAAAGGAGAAATTGGCCCCCGACAGACCCTCTCAAGGGCATCCTTTCCTCTGCGGAAAAAGAAAACTCTGGGTAGAGTTCACAGACCCAGAAAGCCTTGCTTGTGGCTTTCTGCTCCTGCCTGGGCTCCCTGCCTCCCCCTGCCCCTCTGACCACATGCCCCCTGAAGCTCTCCCCAGTGCCAGCCCGTCCTCCCCTCTACTTGTCTGGTCAATCCCACTTGACCTTCAGATTCCGGCTCATTTGACCTTCAGATTACAGTTCATTATTTCTGTCTGTCCGGTTCATTACTGTAGCCGTGAAGTGCTTACTCCCAAACACACGAACTCAAGGCAACAAATACAACTTTCCCAGATCTGTGATCAAAGGGGAAGGACAGTCATCCCTCCAGTCAGGGTGTCTCAAAGTAGATGGCGGCTCCCTCGAGCCAGCCTGGCGCCTCTCCCTGCAGCACTGTCTTTGCAGGCTGAGGGATTCCTCATAGAGCGGATGCTCACAGCATCCCAGGAGGCAAGGAGGCAAGGCGGCAAGGCCACTCACTCCTGAATCCCGGAGTGACATCACGTGTGAAAATTCTATTGAGTCAACCCACCACAGAGCCAAGCTCCAAGAATGGGAAAGTATGGGGGCCCACCTCTCATTTGTCCCTTGTGACTGTCATGACTCCCTCGGGGGATGAGAGCCAGTGTTAGGCTGTAAACTCCTGAGTATTCTTCCTGGACACACCTAGCCCCATTGTGTGCTTGGTTATACCCACCCATGACCCTCACAAGACTGTAAGTCTTGGGCCGGGCGGTGGTGGCGCATGCCTTTAATCCCAGCACTTGGGAGACAGAGGCAGGTGGATTTCTGAGTTTGAGAGTTTGAGGCTAGCCTGGTCTACAGAGTGAGTTCCAGGACAGCCAGGGCTACACAGAGAAACCCTGTCTCAAAAAAACAAAAAAAAAAAAAAAAAAAAAAAAGACTGTAAGTCTCAGGAGGGGAAGAGGTGGGTCAGCCTCCCTCCTTGCTACATCTGCTGCCCCTGCAGAGAAGATACTCAGTAGCTACTGCCAGAAGTCAATGAACGGGAGCCCATCCCATAAGGAAAGCACTTAGATGGAGCTCCTGGGTAGTCATAGCTTCAAGAGAACAGGAGAGTGAGAAACCAGGGGTGCTCAAGCCCGGGGTGCATGACCCCAGAGAAGAAGGCAGTGACGCCCAAGCCCGGGTGCATGACCCCAGCGAAGTAGGGAGCGACTCCCTATCTTCAGAGGCTACTGATACTCAGTGGTAGTACGGCCCAGCGTGACCAGCATTTTTAAGGTCTTAAGAACCAAACATTTACAAGAAATGTCTAAAACTTAAAACGGGTAGTTGATTAAGTTGCATGTGCGCACTTGTGCGCACACACACACACACACACACACACACACACAGAGAGAGAGAGCATGAGAGAGAAAGAGACAGAGAGACAGAGAGACAGAGAGACAGACAGAGAGAAAGAGAGAGAGAGACAGAGAGACAGAGAGACCGACAGAGAGACAGAGACAGAGAGAGAGAGAGAGAGAGAGAGAGAGAGAGAGAGAGAGAGAGACTGATTAAAACACACCTGCAGGCTGAATTCAGTTTTAAGAGAAAACGCCAATGATGCAGGAATATTTGAAAGAAAGCCATTTTCTGTCGCTGAGATAACCTCCTCTGTGAGAGAGACATGGGGACTGCGGGGGACACCGAAAGGTGGTCTCAAAAACATCCTTCGTAGAACAGAGTCAGATAGCATGCTAGTCAGTCTTGGTTATCAACCTGACTGAATTGGAAAAACACCTACGAGGTGTGTTACGTCCACCTCGGCCTGTGTCTGGGAGAGGGTTTCCAGAGAGAACCCTGAGTGTGAGACACAGTCCTACAAGCTGGGAGTCTGAGCGAGCAAGTCACCACAGGTTCCTTTCTCTCTCCCCTCTCCTTCTTCCCTCTCTCCCTCTCCCCCCTCTCCTCTTCCTCTTCCCTCTCTCTCCCTCTTCCCCCTCTCCTTCCTTTCCCTGCTCTCCCTCCCTCTCATTCTGGAGGAGGCATTCCTACACCTGATGTCTCAGAAACAAGGAATTTACCTTTTTTGTTTATTTTCTTGTCTCCTCTGGTGGGGCGAGCCTTGTTTTCTTGTCAGTGTGCCATGTTCACCGACTGCCTCTAGAATTCTCACCCAGCACACTGGCATGACTGCCAGGCACCCTGTAGATGCCCAATGCCCCGCATCAAGCCCTGACATAGATGAGCCTCAAGGCTGCCTCCTCCATCCGACTCACTCGGCTCCCCCTTCTGCTCTCCCCCACCCCCAGTACCTACGACTACGACAAGATAAAGAAGCTGGAGGCCGGTGTCATCATCCGCCCGTTCACGCCCATCCACAGCTGTATCATGGCGCCCTCCCTGCCCGAGTCTCACGTGTAAGCCAGCCTCACCTCCACTTCCGTTAGCCTTGCTGGGTGGGGAATGGGGAGGAAGCTAAAACGACCCCGAGAGCATCATCGGGAGCCCTTAAGTTGCTCCTTTGTCCCCATGAAAGGGACAAGGGGCCTAGAGCCAGAAAAACTGGCTCATTAAAAAAAAAAAAAAAAAAAAAAAAAAAAACAGAATAGATGTGGTAGGTTAGACCGCACCAGCAAGTGTGCAGGGGGCCAGAGTCATCCCTTCTCTCGATGAGCCAGACACTCAAACGCCAAATAATTTGCAAAATATAAAATCTGCCTTGAGCTCTCGATGCAGAGTTTGTACAAAAAAGAAATATCTCGGCTAAGGCTCAGGGGTCATGATCCCCCACCCCCCAAGACTCAGGGAGCTATTTCCCACAAGCCCCTGCGGTCCCGTGCCTAAAGGCGTGATCTCCTCCTCATCCCGTGGTACTCAAGAGACTAGCCAACCTTCCAAAGAGCAGGCTTGCGTTCCCGGAAACCTTGACTTGTAGTCCCTCTCGTGTCTGCTCCAGAGCCACAAGTCCGCAGCCCTTCACTGGGAAAGGTTCAGGCATAAGTAAAGCTTCTTACCTCCGCACCACTGCTGTCTGGAGACTGAGAGATCCTCCTTGTGAAGGGCTCTGCTGTGTCCCACTGGATATTTAAAAGTAGCATCCTGGGCCTCTGCCCAGCAGATGTCAACAGCACCCCTCGGCCAACAAGCCGTGACCAGCGCGCATGCATGCACGTCCCCTCAGTCCAAAATTGCACATGCCCTCCAACCCCACCGCTGAAAACCTCTGCCCTGGGGCAAGGCATTCACAGAGCTGCCGTCCATTCTAGATTTACTGTGGGCCCACAGGTCTTTGCAGTAAGAACTGCCACTCTGTAGACATCACACGCACTGAGCGGTCCCCCTCCTCCCCCGGTGTCCCCTTGTCCCTCTCTGCAGAAGAGAAAGCAGAAGCTCGAAGATGTGGCCCCAACCATTTTTAGTCACAGAGCGCACACAGCACGTCGCCTTCTCGGACCTTAAGCCAAGTCTGTCTGGTGTCACAGCCCCAATCCTCCTCATACACTGTAGAAAGCACATCCCAAGGCCTCTCCTCTGAGGAGCTCACGACACATTTTGAAGGCCAATACTCCTGCACGCAAAGAGTAACCCAGAAGTGAACTCATAGAGCTAGATATCAGAGATTATTATTAATAAGAGAATTATTAATTCACGGGTAGAAAATGCAGGAAACTATTGCCGTCTCTATCACCACCACCACCACCATCATCACCATCATTGCCATCATACACCGTTTTCCCTCACCCCCGTCAGCAGCAGCATACACGGAACACGTCCTCACCCCTCGCTAATAGCCAAGGCTAATCCCACAGTGTCACACTGGCCTCTGCCCGCCTTTTACGAACATCATCTGGGTCTCTTGGTAGAACTACTCATCGTGATCATTCCAACTGGCAGCCCAAGCCGGATGCCCTCAAAGCATCCCCTTAGGGAAACGAGGCCCTGTGGTTTCTCACAAGCGTCTCTCGGAAGCTGGCACACACTTCCCTGGCCTTCCCACGGATAAGCCCTCTGGGACAGTGAGATTCATCCAGATCTGGAAATGGGAAGAGAAGCCTGGAAAAAATGGCTCCTGCCTCCCCATCCCCGTGATCTGAATAACGAGGTGAACGACAACGAGCCTTAAGTGCAGTGAGCGGTGAACGGAACTCGTTTTCTTCCGCGCCTGGTGGGAAAGTGAACCCTGCCGGGGGTCTCCCAATGGGAAGGGGGTCTCCCAATGGGAATCTTCACTCCCGGGCTCTCAGCTCAGGTGTATTAGATAGGCTATCAACAGTTATGACTGTCAACCCACGGCGGGTGTTACAGAAATGTGTTTACTGTCATTCCGAGACGTATCTAGTGCATGTCTCGGGTGTTGCAGATCATGTGATCTCTCTCGAGCAACTACTTTACCCTTGTGGTGTGAAAGAGACAGGGCTGAGCTGTAGTGCCTATGTTCCAATAAGGCTTTCGTTATGGAAACAAGTTACAGGCCCACCCGTTGGTTGTAGTTTGCCAGCCTTCGCCTTAGACTAAAGATGGCGGCTTCTTTTCCTTCGCTAGTGAAAGGTTCTGGCCATGCTGAACAGCTGGAGCATTGATGAATTGCTCAACTTGGAAAGACTTAGAACCCTCTCCCATTGCTCCCAAGTCTACAGAGTGCTGGGCGAGCCCACCTTGGCTGCTCCTGGCTGGGTCTGCCTTCTTGTTTGTATCCAGCTGATGGGTAAACCAGAGGTTGTCTGGTCCTGGCAGGGCCAGCCTTTGGTTTGATTGGTTGCTTAGGAGGGCAGCAGTATCTCTCAACATGTAGTGCTTGCTGACACGGGCTCGTTCACACTGTACCCACGAAGAATCCTAAGAACAGGGGCCTCGATGCCCAAGGCTTCCCGAGGCAAAGGCTCACAGGAGGCTCAGCGGCCTTCCGCCATTCCTTGGTCAAAAGAGCAGAATAAACACAGAGAGGGAGGGAAAGGCTCGATCTCCTGACAGGATGAGGTAGCAAAGTCAGAGCACAGAGTATCAAACTGGAGAGTGAGGAAGAGTTGGGTATTTTAAAGACTTTTAAGACTTTTAAATTGTGAGCATATGTGTGTGGGGGGGTATGTATGCCTGTGTCTATGTGAATATGTGTATACGGGGGTATGTGGGGAGGTGTGGGGAGGTGTATATGTGTATGTGTGAGTATATGTGTATGTGTGTGTGTGTATGCATGTATCTCTGTGTATATGGGTGTATATGTGTATGGGGGTATATGAGGGTGTACATGTGTGTGTGTGTATGGGTGTGAGTATATGTGGGTGTTTGTGTATAGGTAAGTATGTATAAAGGTGTATGTGTGGGTATCGTGTGTGTGTGTGTGTGTGTGTGTGTATGTGAGGGGAGTGTGCATGTCTGTGTGTATGGGTATATGTGTCTGTCTATGTGTGTATGGGTGTGTTGGGGTGTATTTGTGTGTGTGTGTGTGTGTGTGTGTGTGTGCGTGGTATGCCCTCAGAGCTCAGAAGAGGGAAGCAGACCCGGAGCTGGAGTTACAGGTAGTTGTAAGCCTCATATGGGTGCTGGGAACTGAACCGGGTTCTCTGGAAGAGCAGCCAGTGCTCTTGGCTGCCGAGCCGTCTCTCAGGGAACTGGCGCAGCTTCCCAATCAGTTGTGCTCATCACTTTTCTTTCCACTGTGACAGAATGCTTGACAAGAAGCAACTTAAGGGGCTAGACCAGCAAAGGCACCCACTGCCATGCCTGGTGACCCGAGTTTGAACCCACAAGGTGAAAGGGGAAAACCGCCGTCTGTCCTCTGACCCCCCCCCCACAAGTGCAGCACCACACATCCCCTCCCCCACAGCCACAATTGTAAACAATTACAAAAAGATGAGAGACAAAGAAGCAACATGAGAGAAGAAGAAGTTATTCTGGCTCAAGTCTGAGGGGATACAGCCCAGCCTAGAGGGGGTGGCAAGGCAGAGGATGTATCAGGCACTCTGCTGATACCTAAGCCAATCATAGAGCAAGCCTTACAGCTCACAGAGCCTGCTCCCGGAGCCCTAAGTCTGACATGGAGCGATCACGAAGCAGAGGTTTCACAGTCTCCCCAGAGGGGACCCCAACCTCGGAACCAACGCCAAGGCTGGGCCTTGGGTACATTTCACAGTCTACCCGTAACATTAGCCTCTGCTTGTCGTTCCTTAAGCCCCTCAGCCACCCCACCAGCCAATGTAGGTCAGAGCCTGGCTGGTCCCTCAATCCCAGTGCGATTGATCCCAAAGCTGGCCGATAATCCTGAATTAGCCGTGTGGGGATCGGTTGCATCACCTGGAGTGTGTGAGATCTGGCTTTTACTTTCCAAAATGGGAGGGGCCATCTAGAGTGCTGAGACACAGCTTCCTACCATCCCTCTGAAGTGACGAGGTTGTCCCAAGGAGCCTTACCCACTCAGTGAAAGCATCCCCACACCCCGTGTCCTGATCTGCCATAGGACACGGACTGGGACAGCATTGTACACTGTCTGGCAGCTAACGAGAGGAAATGACTGTCTCCCCCACCCCGCCCACAGGGATGCTCGCACACACTGGAGTTGTACAGGTGCCACCCACAGGGATGCTCGTACACACTGGAGTTGTACAGGTGTGTGGTGCTCACCTAGGTTCTGAGCCTGGGCACTGCAGATGTGCAAACCTTGTACAAACCCATGTGGAGAGTTTACCAACTGTGCCTTACATTCAAGCAGATAAGTGCTCTCTCTTTAAATCTGAGGTGTTTTGGTTTTTGTTTTGGTTTGGTTTGGTTTGGTTGGTTGGTTTGGTTTGGTTTGGTTTGGTTTGGTTGGTTGGTTGGTTTGGTTTGGTTTGGTTTGGTTTGGTTTGGTTTTTTTTCCTGTGACCTGGAGAGAAAAGACAGATTGCCACCAGGCTCGCTTCTGGGTTTGGTCGTGATAGTTTTTTTTCCAGTCCGTTCACTGCAGATTAGAGGAGTGAGAGTCAGTTTTGAGACTTCTCACAAGCAGAGTAGGTGGTCTAGGCCCAGAAGATGAAGGCTTTTCCTGATGAGAAAGGAAGGCTCCACCCCACAGCAGGAGACGGGTATCCACAGGTTATTTTACAGCAGAGATTCAGGAGGCTAGACTCAGATTCCAACTCTAACGTTTGCTGGCCTTTTGACCTTAGATGAGTTTCCTGGTCCTTTATGCCTCGGTTTCTTTCATCGGCAAGATAGGGACACTGGTGGCACCCTCCGCCCAGATTCACAAGGAAGAGAGTAAGCCATTGGTAGTGAATGAATAACACTGTGCTCTTAGGAGGCTCACAGCTACTTTGGGGGCTGGGGCTGGGGCTGGGGCTGGGGCTGGGGCTGGGGCTGGGGCTGGGGCTGGGGCTGGGGCTGGGGCTGGGGCTGGGGCTGGGGCTGGGGCTGGGGCTGGGGCTGGGGCTGGGGCTGAGTTGTCACCACACATCAGTGGCCCTAAACATAAGAAACACATCCCAAGCTATCAATTGGGAAAAACGTCGGATCCAAAGCAACGGTTGATTCCCACCATCTTCCATTCGATAAGCAGAAGGATGCTGAGCCCACCCGTATCCATGCTGTGTGCCGGCCAAGACTGTGACTTGCAGGTCCTTGAGAGCGAGGACAGTAAATAAACAAGCAGCCGTGATAAACAGAGACCTGGGGCATAGAGACTCGGGGGAAATGCTGTAGGGATATCCTTGGACAGTGCCTAACCCAGACCTAGAGAGATCAAGGTAGGCTTCCTCTTGACCTTGAAAGAAGTGGGGGTTTACTGTCTCAGAGTTCTAGGGAAGGTGCCGCCAGGGTCGATTCCTTCTTGACTGCACACAGCAGCCCTCTCTCTCTTTCCTCACAGTCGCCTTCCCTCTGCTGTAGCCATGGAGGGTCTTTATGTATCCACATCCCCACTTTCCACTAAGACTGGATTAGAGCCCTCCAAGACGGCTTCCTTTTAAACGGAGTGCCTCTTCAAGGGCCATATCTCCAAACATATTGGAGGTACCAGGGCTACAGTTTTAACAAAAGAATTTCGAAGTCCACAATTAAGCCCACGATAGGTGGTTTAGGGGTGTGGGGAGTTTGGGGATGTTAAGCAAGGGTAAAGAGGGTCCGCTTTGACTCGTGCTGGGCAGTTTCATAAATCACCAGGATGGGCGTGCTGAAAGAGGGGGTGGGTATGTGGGATCCTAGGTGTAAGGAAGAAGAGATGGGGAAGGGAGGGAGAGAGGGGAGGGGAGGGAGGAAGGAATGAATGAGTCTGATTTTTGCTTGCCCCATGCCTCCAGGACCACCCCACGACCAAGCAGACTCCATCCCCCACCACCCACACTGCTTTACCCCCACCCCAACACTGCACGCTTCCCCATAGCCAAGACCTGCAAGGGCCCCTGTTCCAGCCTTTCACCACTTGTTAGTGTTACAATTAGGAAGCATCGAGGTACTTAAGGCCCAGAAACAGGCATATGACACGTTGTCTTCATTGTCTAAATGCTGGATGGAGAGCTACCAACTTGTGCTGTCCCCCCACAATGGGACCCAAGGCAAAGGAGGTCTGAGTCATACTTAGTAAATTGTTCTGTATCCAGATGGATGTGTGTAGAAGACACACATACACAAACACACATGCGCGCACACTCGCACGCACACAACACACACACACGCACGGTAGGGAGGAAGAGGAGAGACTGGGCGGGCATGGGGGGGTCCTAGTTGTCCTCGGATGTGAGAGTTACACCCTAGCAAGAGAAGCTGAGGGTGGGGACAGCTCTGTTCCACGGTAGATGACCAGAAAGCTTTCAGGGGACACCCTGAGACAGCCCCACACAGGGTACGAGGCAAGATCTTCCTGGAAACTGAGAAGCCATCCCTTCCTGGGCCCAGGAGAACTGCGCCTGGAAACTCCCGGGGGAGCAGTGGTCTGGGCAAGATGTAGTTTCAGGAAAGAGCAGTCACAGAGCTTGGTAATTGAAGGCTCTTTCCCATTAGCGAAGGATGAGAACTCTTTGGGGAGGAGTCAGCTTCCAGGACTACACCTCAATTCCAAGAAAGCTACAGGCGTGTCAGCTTAACCCTTTCCTGATCTCACTAACAGAGTGACCACCACGCACTGGCTCCACTGGTCACTCTGTTAGTCAGCTCCCTAAGGCCACCATCTCTGGGCCAGGTCACTCCCTGTTTCAGTCCCTCGACGCTGTTAGCTGTGTGACCTCCGGTAATTCGCTGCACCTCTCAGAGCCTCAGGTCTCCCACCAGATACTGCACCCTATAGTTGTTGTGAGCATCAAGACAAACATTCAAACACCATCTCTGCTCACAACCAGCTTGTGTGACCTTGAGCAACACTGGCTCTGCCTCTCTGGGCCTCCGTTTCCCCCTTGTCTAAAATAGAGATAATAATTCATGCCCCACCAGGTTGTGGGGAACCTTAAAATAATGTGGAGAAAGTAACACCAGCCAATGTGTAGTCCACTGCAGATAGTTAGTATGGGGTCCCCAGAGGGTCAAAAAATGTCAATCGGACACACTGTTGAGCAATGCATTTTCTTTCATTTTTCCAGTGATGTGCCCGGTGTTTTTCTTCAGTGGCCAGCTAGACTTCAATCCTGCTAATACTGTTTCTCATTTCCAGGCTTTCTTAAACCCTCAGGCTATTTACTGCATTTTTAAAAATCAGATAAATTATCAGACATCAGTGTAATATTAATGCCTTCATTCCTCATTTTATCTCCCTGAGTCAGGATCCATAGCTGGGAGAGACTCTACCCACTACACTCAAATTCAAAGGAACTGGATGCTCCAGTCTTGCTAGCTCAGTGACACGGCTGTCGGTCTCCCTAAGCCCCCCGGACCTCCAGTGTCCTCATCTGCACAGTGGGACCAACGGGCATGTCATACACAATGGGTACAAACCAGTTACCTTTGTGCCAGTGCTCCAACGGAAGCCAGAGCAGCTGCAGTCTCTGTGAACAGTGTTCTAAAAAGATGTCCCTGTGCCCCCTCCCTCTGTCTCTGCAGGGATCCCCTCTACCGCCAGCTGTGTGCTCTCCACTGGCTTCTAGAGGCCCTGACCATCGACCACACCCACCACACCATGAGACCCTTGATTGCCTGTTGGAACCCCAAGTAAGCCCAGCAGTCCTGCACCCAACTGCAACCTGGGACTCGCCTGGGTGGTAAGGGACGGTGGTGGCGGGGATTTTATCCTTCCTACCCTCCCCTTGGTCTGTTTGACGGGTGGTCTGCCTCAGGAGTTGATGCACTCTGTGGATGAGTTCAGCACGTACAGTGGGCTCAGGCGAGCTGGAGCCAGTGCTTACCCTCTTCCCAGAGCCCACTGTACACACGTCTTTGCAAGCGTCTCTGCCTGATGCCATATCGCACGCAACACACTGACAGCTTAAAATAAGACCGTGGTGGGAACATTTACACCACAGAAATGGGCAAGCTACGCCAGCACGCTGTGGACCCACAAACGAATTTCTCTCTGAGCCTCCTCGCGCTCTCACCGAGTCTCCTCAGCGTTGTCCCTGGTCGCTCCTTTACCCCGGCCACCTCCCACTTCCTCTCCGTAGTGGAGTTTGAACCCAGGGCTGGGGAGAGATGGCTTGTTGGTTAAGAACACAGCCGCTCTTGCTGACAGCCAGGGTTTGGTTCAGAGCATCCACGGGGCAGCTCATAACTGTCTGTGCCCCAAGTCCAAGGGATCTGCTACCCTCTTCTGGCAGCCTCTTGTACTGCCTGCACACGGTGCATGTATACGCAGACGCAGGCAACACATTCAAAATTTTGAATCCATCAAATAATGAAAGTGTTCGCTAAGCCAGGGCCTGCATGTTCTGGAAACATCCCCAAAGATATACCAAATGGGTATAAAAGTATTGATCTTCTAGCAATCTCTCGGCACCCTCAAGTTGACGATTGATATTTATCAACCCAAACTCATCACAAACACAGTCACAAACATAAACCAGTCACCTACCCACAAATCTAGTAATTCCAATGGGCTTTCTGTCTGAAACAAGTTTTGGTGTCTGGGAAACACACTCCCCTCCCACGGCTTCCTTCCACACCGGCCACGTCATCCCAGTTGTTTCAAAATGTCTCTGTAGGTTCCCAGAGTTTGTATAAACACTGTGACCTTAACGACAACTTCCCAGAGATGGGGAGATGGTGCTCTGTGTAAAGTACTTTCTGTACAAGCAAAGACCCAAGTTCAGATCCCCACTCTTGAATAAAACTCCGGGGATGGTGGTCCATGCTTTTAACTCCTGCACTGAGTAGAGATAGGTAGATTCCAGGGAATGGCTGGCCATCTGGTCAAGCCGAAGCGATGACTTCCAAGCGCAGGACAATAGCAATTGAGGAAGACATCCACTGTTAGCCCCTGGCCCCTGCATGCACCAACACAGATGCATGTACCCCACATGTGTATGCTTGTACATACACATAGGCAGACATCACACGCACCAAAGTTCAGTTCATCTAAAAAAAAAAAAATACATTCCACGCACCATCTATCTTCCTTTCAAATAAAACTGCCCAGGCTATAAGCTAATGTGGTTTTCTCTTGCCAAAACTTTCCCCAAACCCCACATGTAAATATATAAGGTATGAAGGCTTTTCTACCACCTGGGAAATCCTTGAGTGTAAACCCCCTTGTAAAGGTATAAGGTGCCTTGTCCCACATCTTTGTGGCACCTCTCCCTCGTGAATATGCACACAGCAGCAGCAGCAGCGACTCGTGGGCATCTATCCACAGTACTACATGCTTAACACGGAAAAGAATTCCCAGCAGGGAATTCTCCCGAGTAGATGGAGAAGCACATCCAATCTCTACGGACAGATGCTGACACTGCTCCCAAATCCTCGGCGTTAAACCCCACGCTTCATAGAATGCCCGGCTGCATCTCATTCACTGCCAAGTGCAAAGATTTCTTGCGACTGGGTTCTGAGAAGCACTACCTACTAGGTCAAAGCAACATGTAGTGGTCCCCCCACACTTGATTGCTTGTACTGTCTAGAGACTCCATCCCCCGAGCCCACAGATGTCCGATAGTACTTCATCCCTCAGCTCATCAACTGCCCCAACGATTTCCTTTAAAGCATGGACACTCGTCTTCCACACGGAAGGAAGCTGATTACACAGGACTCTACACTGCCTTCAATTGCTCTCGGAAATGTGCTCAGGACAGGGGCACGGGCTGTTAACATCGATTAAAAAGATGTAAGGTCACACTAAGAAGAAGAGCCAGTATTTTACCAAGATACATCAGGGAAGAACCCACCAAGGACCTAAACATATCTGGCTCCCTACAGACAGAACCAGGACCAGACCTGGCCACCAGAGGAGAGGACATGCAGAAGGACATGCACAGGGAGTCAGGGGACTTGCCTGGCTTTGTCAATTCCGATGGAATTAACTCCACGTGTGGATTTTTAAGCTTAGAGTCGGATGACAGTAAAGGATTAAGTTAGTTACCTGTTCCCAGAGCTCAGAGACACATGACGTGTAACAATGCCAGTCTCTATAGGATGTCTACATGAAAACACACCATGGCCATTTCAGACTGTGAACATGTTGTGGTGTGGTTGAATTTGGAGTTGAGAAGCTATGACGGCTATTCTTAGTTGTCAGCTTGACTATGTCTGGAATTAACTAAAACTCAAAAATGGAGGGTCACACGTCTGTAAAGGAATCTTTGCTTAACTTGAAGTGGGAAGATCTACTACTTCTAACCCAGATCTATGAAGTAGGAAGGAAGCTTTAGTCCGCATCTTTTGATCCGGGAAAACATACCTCTCTACTATGCCTTCTGCTGGCACCCTATACAAGGACACAAAAAAAGGAAGCATTTGCCCTTTGCCTGCTCGCCCTCACTCTCACTGGCATGCCTGTTCCTTCACTGGCATTAGAGCCTACTTCTTCAGGGTTCTGGCATATACTGAAGACCGGCTGAGACATCCAGCCTCACGGACTGGACAACTACTGGATGCTTGGATTGTCCGTTCATAGGCAGCCATTGTTGGATTAGCTGGACCACAGCCTGTAAGTCATTCTAATAAATCCCCTTTCTATATAAAGAGGTTCACTTTATAAGTTACGTTATAAACTCTGGCTAACTCAAAAGCTGTGTGCTTCAGCTCTTAACAGCCAGCAAGAACCAGTACAAACTGACCCCAGCAACCAGCATATAGATATGTTACTATTTTTGTTAATTGTGGGGTCAAATTCCCTAGGAAGAACCAGAAAACATCTTAGTTACCCGGAAAGCAGGATGCCTTCTCCTAGATGCTTACTCTGTCTCTGCAAGGTCTCATGCCAATGACATCACATGAACTTCCCAAGACTTGAGTGTATGTTCCTAAAACCCAGGTGGACTCAAGTGACTGGAACCAAGAGTTTTGGCATCATTTGGCCCAGCATCCCCAACCCATGGCCATAGCTAACTAGAGTGGTTGAGACAGAAGGATGTCAAGTTCAAGGACTCTCTGGACAACTTAGCATCAATACATCTCAAAACAGACAAAGGGCCCTTGAGGTATACACCTTAGCCAGTGCCTTCATCGATCATGTGCAGAAGCCCTAGCTGCAATCTCCAACACTGAAGGGAGAGGTAAGGAGTTTGGGCCTTAGCCTAGGTAAGTCCGTACCCTGCCACTTGCTAACTGTGCGATCGTAGGCACGTCAGTTAAGGACAATGAGCCCTGTTTCAAATCCCTTTCAAATGGGTTGCTGGCCCAGAAGAGTTATTCTTATGACCAGGCAAGTCCGTGTCTAATGTGCTGGCTAGCTCTATGTCAACTTTACCCACAAACTAGAGTTATCTAAAAGAAAGGAACCTTCATTGAGAAAATGTCTCCAGGAGATCCAGCCGTAAGGCATTTTCCCAATTAGTGATTCATGGGGGAGGGTCCAGTCCATTGTGGGTAGGGCTATCCCTGGGCTGGTGATCCTTGGTTCTGTAAGAAAGAAGGTTGAGCAAGCCATGGGGAGCAAGCCAGTAAGCAGCACCCCTCCACGGCCTCTGCATCAGCTCCTGCCTTCAGGTCCCTGACCTGCTTGAGTTCCTGTCCTGACTTTCTTCCTTCTGGATAAACAGCAATGTGGAAGCCTACGCTGGATAAATCCTTTCCTCCCCAACTTGATGTTTGGCCATGGTGCTTCTTCACAGCCAAAGAATCCCTAACTAAGATATCTAGAAACACAGTGAATATTCTTTCTGTGACAGACACTGAAGATAAAACTCTCTAATTAAAGCACAGTTGGAGCTACGTCCATCAGCATCTCAGACACCTCAAGCTAGTAAAGAATCAGCGTTGGAGAACTCTACCACCAACAGATGAGATCCACAGTGACCGGACAGACACAGACAGACACACAAATGGGGGAGAACAGCTACACCAGCCCTCATCAGTGATGACAAACCCCATGGACCAGAGGAAGAAGGCAGCCACTGATTTACCATGCAGGAAGAACATGGCACGAGCATGTGCGCACACACACACACACACACAATTAGGCCCTTGAGAGAGCAGGGTGGTTGTGTAAGCCTGGATACCTCAGGCAGTCCCAGAAAGACAGCGTAGGCCTTGTCAGAAAACCAGCTGGATGTGAGTCTGGCTTTCATAAGCTTACGGTCACATGTCTGCTGCTTGCTCTGTCCTCTGTGGAACACTCCTATGAGCCAGGGCTTCCCAAGCAATGGCTGTACTGTGACATAACTGAAGAGCTTGCTGTGGCGAAGCTGGATTTGGAAGATCTGGTCAGGGCTGGGAATCTGCCCTCCATCGAGCTCCAATCCAACTGTGATTAAGAGTCCAGACGACTCAGGACTAGTGACCCCCACCACCAGGTAGGGCCTCCTCCTAAAGGTTCTGAAGCCAAACAGCTCCACTAGGGGGAGACAGGCTTCCAGAATATGATCCCGCGGGCTCCAATTCAACCTTAAACATACAGCAAGTTTTCTCTTATAAAATAGTTTTAGGGGCTGCTGGAGAGAGATGGCTTAGGGGTTAAAAGCACTGGCTGCCCATGAGTTCAATTCCCAGCCACCACACGGTGGCTCACAACCATCTGTAATGGGATCTGTCGCCCTCTTCTGGTGTGTCTGAAGACAGCTACA